TTTATATAAGTATTAGTATTTATTAGAGTGGTTCATTCTGTACACACAAAGCTGGTCCATCCTGTACCACATGGTAGTTGGACACTAAAACGGACATGCCAAATAAATTAAAAAGGATAAAGGTGTCAAATCAACACTATCGTGTTCAGAAAGCATTATTTTATAGAAACTGACAAAAAAACAAAAACATACCGCTCGAAATTTTTCTAAAACACTCAAAAAGAAACAGACGAATATTTCACTTTTTCTCGCAAAAAAAGGAAAAGTGAAACAGTTAAATCGGCTACTAAAAACATTTAATAAAATTTACATCTGGTTATAGAAAGCCAAGAGACGTATATGAATTTAAATTTTAAAAAAATGTTAGCGCATGTTTACTATTTTTAATTTCGAAGGTCCTTTCGGTACCTGGTCCATTCGACCCCAGTCTCCCCTACGCTAGCTTACTTACGAAATTACAATATTTTTATTAAAATTGACAAAAATTATTTCAAATTACATAATTCAAGGTTTATTGGTTAATTAGTTGATTGTTTAGTTAAATGATTGTCTAGTCAGTTGATTAGAATCAGCGGTTGATTGATTGATTTATTTGTTGATTGACTGGTTAATTGATAGTACAGTACCAAACAGTATCTTATTGAACAAAGTAGTATCATAAAATGAATAATGATACTTTTTGTTAAAATTTCAATAATTTTTAATTTGATTTCATTGCGATATCGACAATGATGATTGTGACTGACTAATTAAAAAATATCAAATAAAGCTTATAAAATAGGATGGGCAAATGACGTCATATTAATAGTAGTTATTTAACTGTCTGTTAGTGAATTAGCCGGTATAAATAAAGGTTTTATTCAACTTCTATCAAATAAATTTGACCAAAAATCATACGCAGGCAAAACTAAATAAAGAAATAGATATATAGATATGTGTAGTTCTAATACATTTGTAATGTTATAATTAAACATTCAAATTGTACAATTGTGTTATGGTGTATTCTCAAATTATTTTGAATTTTCTCAGAAAAATTTAAACTTTTTACTATATACTAGTTACTTTTATCAACAATTTTTAAAAAAATTTCAATTTGATTTCATCGCGATATCGATGATTGTGACCTGACTGATTAAAAAGCATCAAAGGAAATTTTTAAATGATTTTTAAATAAGCGAGTTTAAATGATTGGATGGAATTACTTGGCGAATAAAACTTGTGAATATGTTTTAATTTAATTAAATTTTGAAGAAAATATTTTTAAAACTCGCTTGCGTTATTTCTTTGATATCAATATTGGGGATATTCATATATAAAGCGAGCAAAATTTTAATATAAAAGCGCTTATAAATCTACGCATATTGGCTCAGCTTGGCTCGGCTTGGAATCGGATGTTAAGCAAGGTGTGGTCTCAAACTATTTGGAATTCTCCCAGAAAAATTTGAACTGCATGCGCACATATGCAGCACTGATTACTGTTGCTTTTATAATGAATTTATAAATTATATATATAAAGCGATCAAAATTTTAATATAAAAGCGCTTATAAATCCACGCATGTTTGCTCAGCTTGGCTTGGCTCGGCTTGGTATTGGATGTTAAGCAAGGTGTGGTCTCAAACTATTTTGAATTCTCCCCGAATATATATATATATATATATATTCGGGGATATATATATATATATATATTCGGGGATATATATATATATATATAGTTATATCCATGGTCGTAATGAATTGAATTGAGGTGATTGGCTTAAGCATCACCTGTTCAACAACCTGGAGATAAGTAAAATTTTGTTCTGTTTGGAATGACTGAATGATTAATTTGGATGAAAGAACGAACGAATACATGAACAAGATGAATGAATAAATGTATGAAAGAACGAATGACTTATATATAACAAATGAAAAACGAAATATTTGATTGGATGAATGTAAATGTACGAGTTTAAACGAAGGTTCACGAGAAATTAATTGAATAAAATAATGAGTCATTGAATTGTCGATAAAATGTGAGGATGAATGAATGAATGAATGAATGAATGAATGAATGATCGTAAATAAAATGAAAGTGAACAAATGAGTGGGAGAATGAATTTGTGAATGGTTGAATGACTGAATGGATGCATATCTATGCTACATGAATATGAACTATTACAAATTGTCCATAATTTTCTGGGCTTTCTTTAATTCTGAAAATTAAACATTGAGATCATTGTTTTTAAAAACTATAAAAATGAATATTCATTCATGAACGAACGAATGAATGTGATCGAATGTTAACAAGTGATCGAATGATTAATTAAATGAACGATTGATTGAACGTATTGAATGTGAGTGTACAGATGAATCTTTGTGAACATTTGAATGAATTATTTGTTAATAAATGAATAAAACGTTGATGAATGATTGAATGAATGAATAAATGAATGAATAAATGAATGAATTGATGAATAAATATTCTATAAGTATTTCAAATCAATAATTTTAAAATATGAACAAAAAGTCATTGCCCAACCGTCCAATAGTAATAGTAATTTGTCAGATGTTAAGGTCACAAAAGTGGTTTCTGATTGGTTGGCGTCTGGATCACGTGTTTTAATATTAAGCCTCACTATTGGTTCATTTAGATTCTGAAAATTTTTAAAATATATTAATTTGTGCGACTGATCAACTGAATGAATGACTGAAAAAATAAATGTACATATGAGTAAATGATTCGAGAAATGAATGCAAGAATGAATGAACTATTAAACAAGTAAATGAATAAATGTATGAATGAACGAACGAATGAATGGATGAATGAACGAACGAAGGACTGAATGACAAACTGGTAATTAATTTCACCAACACTTAATTCATTGCTGGCAATTAAATGATCAACCCTCCAACCCACTGATTCTAACTGGATCACTGACAAGAATGATAATAAAAATGACAATAAAAATATGAATGAATGAATAAATGAATGAATGAATGAATAAAAAAATGAATGATAATAATAATTATTATATGGTTGTATTATTATCGAAACTATTGAAAATTATGAAAACCCAACGTTTAAAACTATTTCTGTGAAATTCTTCTCTTAAGGAATTCACATTATCTTCATAAAACTTACACAGTACAGTTGCATGTTCTTGAGTAAAATAATTATTAATTATATTATTATTAATTATATTATTATTAATTATATTATTATTAATTATTATTATCATCTAAGTTATCATTGCCTGGCACAGGCGCTCCAGTAATCAGGTTCGAATGCAAAGAGATCCAAGCAATATGCAATATGTGTCACACACACATGCAATATGTGTGTGTGATACATTGATGCACTATATCTTTGTTGTTAATACCTCCAAAATATTTTGAAAATAAAGAGAGAAAGAGAGAGAGAAAAGAGAGAGAGAGAGAGAGAGAGAGAAGAGAAAGAAAGAATGAATTGGAAGAAACAGAAAGAAAACTAATTGTAATATTATAACCATTTGGTTGGTTAACCTTTTGGCATTCCTAACTGCTGAAGCTCATTGGATAGAGAACTGGAGTTGACAGCAAATTTTGTAGCGTTGCTCAGTATTAATGTTATCACTGCTAGACTTGCTTTCACATCATTCAATTCTGTAATAATTATTGAAAAATTATGTTAAACTATAAATATAAATAATTAAATATAACAAATATAATTAATTATAATTAATGTTGTTTTATTTTCCCTTTTAATATTTCTTTAAGACAAAAAAATAATTTTATTTATCCTCACTGAATTTTGCATCACTACCCAGTTTCGCGATCTTTTCTTGCTTTGGAAATTTTAAAATAATAATAAACATATTAATACTAAACTAATTAGACTAATTTTAAAATAATAAGAAAGATTACTAACATCGACATCTTCACTGAGGAGATTTTTGAAAACTTGGGTGCATAGTAACTTTACTTTTATGGAACTCTGTGGAAAAATTGAGAAATTAACTTAGCTGTTTATTAATTATTTAATTTTTTATTGACAATTATAGCATAAAACTATATATTAGTTAATTCAATATTGATTTCATTATTATATTAAACTTGCCAGTTTGGAGAGAGTACTGATTTCAGCCAACACCCAATCTGGACAATCCAGATCACCACAAAATTTAAATTTCTGAATTGAAAAGATTAAAGTTTATTTATAATTAAATTAAAAATAATTATAACTGTAATAATATTATATTAAAATTAAATTAATAATAATAACTATTATTAAATATATATATTATAAATAAAATATAAACTATCAAGAGTTACTAAACCATGAATTACTCAATAGCAAAAATCATGTTTTTATTATTATTAATTTAATTATTTAACTTATTTTAAATAACAATTGAGTGAACTTTTAATTGAAAATAAAAAATTTATTTAAATTAAAACTTTGAAAAAGAAATAAAATAATTATTTTTTTAAAGAACCAGAAACAAAATCACCATTATGAAGAAACCACACAAAAACGTTCGAAAAAATAAAATAATTAGAAAATGTTTTTTCGTAAAAAAAAATTAAATAAAATACAATTATAATTAGAGTCGAACGCCCCGTTAAAAAAGTGATTCACTTTTGATTCACTTTTAGTTAATCAAGAAAATTCACTTTTAGTTTGCTTAAATTTAAAAGTGCAGGGTTCAATGATGACAACAAATTTAATCAACGTTATCTGCAATTACCACAAGAGAAATGAAACAAAGTAAATTTTATCAATAAGTTGAAATACAAATTAACTTATTTAAATACAAAAAACTTTTACTTTATTTATTGAACCATTTAAAATAAATCATCCCAATTATCCATTGACCATTGAATTATTCTTATACTCCGTTGAACAGAATTAAAGGTGCTGCTATTAGTCGCCACGTACGACTGCAATTTTTTTTTTATTTGTTATTAAATCGTTTTTTTTTTGTTAAATTAGTGATTTAAATGACAATTTAAGAAAATTTTTTATTTGTGTTCACGCTTAATTATATTAATTATTGTTGTTCTGATAATTTGAAATTTATGAATAAAATCTACGTGATCCGCGATTGTTTACATTACTTTTACATTGTAATATTATTGTAATATGTAATGATTACAATTTTTTACAATTTTTTTTACACTATAAAATAAATTAAAATAATTATTTAACTGATTATTTTTGACGTTAAGTGAATCAAGTGAATGAAATCAATAATAGTTCTTCAATAGCATCCTAAAAAGTGAAAACACTAACAAACCAACAAAAATGGCTTCTTCTGAATTAAATGGCCGATCTCCCCAATCGTTGTCTTCATCGCCACCATCATCCCCATCGTCTGCGTCATCTTCGTTATGCTTTCAGTTGTCGGCCACAGCCAAGAGGCAGAAGTTTCTTCGGAGGTTGTTTAAATTTCGACAAATGGACTTTGAATATGCTCTCTGGCAAGTCATCTATCTGTTCATTGCTCCACAGAAAGTGTTAGTTATTCATTCATCAATTTAGTTATTCATTCGTTCATTCATGAATCTATTCATTCATTTATTTTATTCATTTTTTTTCAATGTCTACTTTATATACATAAAAAGTTCATTCTTTAGTCTAGCCAACTTATTGATTTACCAATTAATTTTTGCTCAAGATCAGTGTAAATAATTTATTATATATATATATATATAAATATAAATTAATATTATTATGAATTATGAGAATAATTATTAATAGAAATAATATTAATTATTTCAGATACAGAAATTTCAGTTATAGAAAACGTTAGATGATATAATTTTTTGTTTCTTCATTATCTATTATTTTTGATATGGCTATATAAAATAGTCCTTATTTATTTCCAATGAGAATTTATTATTTACATTTTAGTTATGAATAATTAGTAAAAATATTTTCGAAATTTTATATTTAGATTATTCATTTTATTTTCTATTAATTATTAAAAATATTTTCATCATAATTTCTATGAAAAAATATTACTGATTTATAAATTTTTATAAAAATTAACATGAAATTTAAAAAATTAATTTTTTTTCGCCCAGAAACAAAAAATCAGTGGGCTAGAGATGATCCAGCATTCCTTGTTTTATTGACTATTTGTCTTATTGGTCAGTTATTGTTTGTTTATTTGTTTGTTTGTGTGTGTGTATGTCTGTCTGTATTTTTTGTGTGTATATTTATTTATATTTCTGGTTTTATTTGTGTGCATCTCTATCTGATAGTAACTTTGACTGTTTGTTATATGTGTGTGTGTGTGTGTTTGTGTGTGGTGTGTGTGTAAGTGTACATTTAATTCTGTCAATATGTGTTTGTATGTGTCTGTCTGTCTGTTTATCCATGCATATGTGTGTATCAATGTCTGACTCTATCTGCATATGTGTTTATCTATGTCTATTGGTTGTTGGTCTGACTATTGATAGGTGTTTGTCTGCTTATTGAAATATTTCTATGTATATTTGTTTGATTTTTTTCAGCATCATTACCATCATCATCATTGCCATCTTTCCAACATCATCATCAGTATCATCGCTGGGTTACTCAATCGTCCTTGAACTTGGTGTGGCAGGGTTTTTTAAATTCTTCTTCTTTGTCATCTTCATAGACTGCATCGCTGTTGGGATCATCATAGCTACACTGCTTTGGTTAGTGAATAAATTTTACTACTACTACTATTATTACTACTACTAGTACTCTTGCTACTGTTGCTGCTACTACTACTACTTCTAATAATGATAATAATAATAATAATTGATCATCATCATCACCACCACACTAATACTACAAATTACAATAATAACATAATAATAATAATAATAATATTAATAATAATAATAACGGACCAACATCATCGTCGTCGTCATCATTGCGTAAGTGTTATAAAAGGAAATTGTGCATCAATAGTAGAAGCACTAACATTAACAGTTGCTTTAGGCCTATGTTTAACATTACAACAAGCTAATGAGTATTATTTATGAAGATTTATTCTTGCTGATCTAATTTATTGAACTACCATCACCACCGACCACTACCGACCACCACCGACCACCACCATCATAGGTTCATAACGAACAGGTATCTGATAGTTCAACCACCCACGAGGTGTGATGTCGAGTGGGCGTACTGTTTCGACATTCACCTCAATGCATTCTTCCCACTACTCACCATATTACACTTTCTGCAGCTGCCCTTTCTCAATTGTGCGTACCTCGTTGGGTCTTTTTGTTGTATGATGTTTGTCGTGCAGGGTATTTATTTGCATGATGGGTGTTTTTTTCTGTGTTTGTATTATGTTTTGTTTTTAATGCGTTTCTGTTTGTGTTTTTATGTTGTTTTTTCAAACGCGCGCGCACACACACACACACACTCTCTCACACGCGTAAACATGTAGGCACAGACAAGCTTATACACGCACGCACGCACGCACACACAGATTTCATCTCGTACTCCATCATAATGTGCTTCTGTAGTAACACTGTCTGGTTCATTGCCATTGGCTATTATCTCTATATCACTTTCCTTGGATACAGTTGTTAGTATTTCACTTATTTACTAATCATTCGCTCATTAGTTGATTAATTAATTAATTCATTCATTCATTCATTCATTTATTTATCCATTAATTCATCCATTCATTAATTCTTCAGCTTTGCCCTTCTTGAAGAGGACGAGGATGTTGTTGTATCCCTTCACGATCGTGGCCATCATCTACGTCCTCTCCGTCATTCTAAATATCAACTTTGACAGGATCCTCTGCGACTTCTACCACTTCCGCACTCATGGCGTCGTTACTTTCATTTGAAAAAATTTTAAAAAAAACTTGGTTCCCTGATTGTTTGTTTGGTTAGTTGGTTGACTGATTGGTTAAATAATTGACTTGTTTATTGAATGGTTGATTAGTTGGATTGCCGATTGGTTGTTGTATTTGTTAGATTGGATTCTTGCTTGGATGGTTGGTTGTTTGGTTTTTTTTGTTGTAACTAAGTGGTTGATTTTTCGCCTAATTGATTAATATATGGATTGATTGATTGATTGAAAAATTGATTGACTGATTGAATTCATTCATTTTTATATTTCAAACATAAAACTGGTGTTAATAATAGTTAACGTTGTTGCATTTTATATTATTATTGTTCCTTTTATTTATTTTCTAATTATTATGGTGATATTTATTGAATATATAGACGTAACATTCTGTGAAATAATAAAGAATTTATTATTGGTTTGGTAGTTGAATAAACATTCGTGAATGATTGTTGGATGGAGGAAGAATGAATGAATTAATGATTGAATAAATGAATGAATGAATGAATGAATGAATGAGAAAAAACTATTGAGATTGTTACACTTTGAAATTTGTTTTACCAAATAAATATAGCTCTCACTATATTCTACCATTCTTTATATTATTATCATCGTTATCATTTTTTATTATTGTGATTTTTTAATTAGATTTCAAACAGAAATATTCCTGCTACTACCACTACTACTACCACTACTACTACTACTACTACTACTACTACTACTACTACTACTACTACTGCTTCTACTACTACCACTTCTACTACTACTGTTTCTACTGCTACTGTTTCTACTGCTACTACTACTACTGCTGCTTCTACTGCTAATACTACTACTAAAATGATAACAGTTACACTTTTATTGTTACTAATATTCTACTGTTGGTATATATAAGGACAGATGTTATCGCTATTAGTATTTATACTGCAATGCATAGTAAAAAATACTTACATTACTACTGCTAAATTTTAAAAAGAAACATGTCTGACAGGTAAAATTATTTGCTACAAGCTTCGAGGAACATTTTGTAATTGTAAATTATCGTTGTTATACAAATATGTAAATATTAGCATTTTATATATGTTTGTGTTCTTACAATAAAGTTTATAGTTGGAAGAATACGATAGGGCAATGCTAGTACGAGCTGAGGCGTTCTATCTCAATGTCTCTAATCTTATTGCATCTTCCAGTTTGTTGTGAAAGAACAAGGTGTAAAATGAAGATTTGTACAAATAGTTTAAAAAGTATATCTTCATGAAATATAGATAACAACAACACTAAAGCTGACATTCCTTTTTTTAGGTGTAAACCATATTATTCGTAATTAATGTGTTATTAGATTAATCTTTGTGGATTACTTTGACTGGTCCGAAGAGTCTATTTTTGCCGCTAATTTCGTTACCTACCTGCTTCTTTAATTTTGTCATTTTTGTCGGCTACCGACCAAGAGAATGTTTAATTTGTATGAATGCCTTTCTTTTAAAATCGCATTTTAATCGATTCGTTAATATTTAATACATATCTCTAGTTGAGACATGTTGCTTGGCTAGGTTGAAACCATTCTCATGTTAATACGGGTGCTTCATTTTGGCTGTCATCTTAAACTTAGGCATATACCTATGGGATTATATATATATATCTTGATACCATATATCTTGATTATATACCCAGCATATACCCTGATTCGACTTTGAAAGGAGTAATTTATGAAAATAGTGCAAGTTTTTTTTTTTTGTTCGGTTCATTTAAGTTTTTCTTATTATCTCAATATTGAATAACTAGTTGAAAAGGTATATTTAATCCGGTTTTGGTAACTTTCCTTGATGTATAGGCCATCAGATCTATATGTTATATAAACCTAACCATTGAGTAAAGGACTGGAATTATTACTCATTCGTTTCTCCCATCTCTACTTCCGTTGTTTCCTTTCCTTCGCCGCAGCAAGCTACGCCATTTTTTGCCCGTTGTGTGAAAAGAAGAGTTTTAGTTTTAGTCGTTGATTATTATGTCACATAGTCCCGACAACGAAGATCATTTTATGGGAATGGACTACTCAGGTGATACCGTTAAAAGACCGAGAAATGAAGAAAACGACGGCATTTCAAGTAAAAGATGCAAAGGTGATTTCACATTTCACAAATGATATTGCATTTTTTTTAGTAGCTGCGTTAATTTTTGTATGTATGTACAATTGTGTAATATATTAGTGACTGTTAGGTGTTGAATGATTATTGTTTAAATGAATCAAACATCAGTAGTTTGTTTTCAATTTTCACTAAATTTCATTTCAACCTTGCATCATTCCATGCCTACATTGTCATTTTTATATTTCTATCCTATGAAAACCTTTCCAGCTGATTCCATCCTACTGAAGCAGCTGTTTCCCTCTTTGATTACGGGTCTCATCATAGGTAAGGGTGGGGAGGCAATCACAAAACTCCAAGCAGATACAAACACCACCATCAAAATGTCAAAGAATGGGGACTTTTTTCCAGGTTTGTCGATTATTAACCAGAGCCAGACATTTTTATGAAATCAAAGTTTTGTGTCTAATGCAGATGATTATGCTAGTTATGCATGTATTATATAAAAAGTGTTCGTTTATAAACACAACCAGGGATATATATGCTTAGGGTTGGTGTTACATTAGTTTTTTAACTTTCAAACATTAAATTTAGATTTTTGCAATGACAGCAACAGGCAAAATTTTTTGTGTTGGGCATGAAACATAATGTTTGCCATAAATTCTATTGATCGATCTCAAATGTTTTTATTATACATTTTTGGCATAAGTTTACATTCTGAACTACAACGCAAGTTTTCACTCACTATCTCTGTTAGAGAGTAAGATAAGCTCCTCCTACTGAAATTCGAAAAGTGCATTGAAATTAAAATAGATTTTTGTAATGTAATAATTTAAATTTGCGTTTTAATTTAAATTTGCGTTTTAGATGTTGTGATTATATTATTATATATTTTATTTAAAATTTGTACGAATATTACATGTCATTTGTACGTATTAAACGTCTTTAATATTTGTACGTATATAACGTTATTTGTACGTATATAACCTATAAAATACAAGAAAAAAATGATGAAAATTTTATTATACCAAGTAAAAAAAATTGTACGTTTATAGCCTATAAAATACACGAAAAAAATTAGGAAAATTTTATTATACCAGATAAAAAAAAATTGTAAAGTTAGTAAATAAAACTGTTAAAAAAATTTAACAAATGTTGTCTTTTTGGCGTATGTGCCTAATAGTATTGCCGAACGGTCGGTCGCCGTACCGTTCGCACCACAGAAATTCTGCCAAGTATGTGTGCCTCAGGCTGTTCAACGTGCTGCACATTACTTTGAATTTGGCTTTCAATCGTGCCCGCATGGATTCAACATTTTGGATGTGTGCTCCTGTCATTGGGTCAACGAAATTTTGAGAGTGGTTGACTGTCAAATGAGTGTAGCCCATATTTCTCAGCTGGCTATAGGCACGCCACTCATCTGACACGATGGTTGTGCCAGGAGCAATCCACTTTTGTATTAACGGCAACAAAGTTTGAGAATCCCGGGCCACGACTTCTTCCACAAAACAAAGTTTTGTGCCACGTTGGATTCCTCCAAAAATCCAACCTTCATTGGCACCCACATTTCTCCCCCTCTGATACTTGGCCTTCATTATTTTCGACTCATCTATCTCTACGATAGTACCAGGTCCAACTATCTGGTTAATATATTAAAAAATTGTTTGAGCATTGTAATATAATTTCAATTTTTATTAAATTGTTGACAAACTTTGACTTTTAACCTACCTAGTCAATTTGCTCTACGCATTTAAACTGACAAATGTCACAACAAAAATTGAACCAATCAACAACTGTTTTTTGGCTCAGTTTGAGTTTGTGACATTTCAGACTCACTGACACTCTTTGTGACCATAAATACACCATACGGACAATTAAGCTTAGTCTTATGTGACTTCTTTCAAAGAAGGAGTCTGTCCTGATGCTGTATCTTTTTTGAATAATTGATAAGTATTAATTAACATTTAAATTAATAAATTAAAAAATACTTCAAATATTAATCTTATGTAACCTTCTTTGACACCCTCTTGCCGGACAACGCCAGACAACTCCATCCTTCTTTACATTGTTATTACATGCGACCTCTACCATTTCGCAACCACAATTATAGCAGTACATTTCACGGTAGATTAGTCCGTGAAATCTGAGCCACTGCCTCGTTACGCGTCTATTTTTTGTTAGACGCATGACCAGGTCAGTAAACGTCACGCCGTCAGCCATCCTAATGTTTTCAAAATATTATAACATATATTACTCGTTATTATAAGTCATTATAAGTTAATGCTTAAACAATTATAAATTATAAAATTAATGTAACCTTGGTTTTTGGACAAATTCAACTTTTATTAAAACAACCACGAGATCACAGAAACGTTGGAAAAGGAAATACATGTGACTTTTTTTTGAAACTTTAGAAAAAAAACTAAAAACTTCCGAAAAAATTATTACAATTTAATTAAACCTATTTTAATAAATTGATTTTAATAAATTTTAATATATATATATTTTTATTTTAATCAATATATTACTATTTTAACATATTTAAATACGAAATAAAACGTTTTTACAATTATCCTTTTTTTTCTTTTTATCTCAATCAACTTTCTGCATATTAGTGGGAGGCGTAAATGTAAACTTATGCCACATTTTTTTTTAAATTGTAGTTAATTTCTAATCATTTGTTTGAATTATATTTGTTAGGCACTGCTGATCGAATATGTGTTATACTCGGCTCAGTTGATTGTGTGAAGGATGCTCACAATGCTGTGTGGGACAAAATCAAGAAGAGGCAGGAGATTCCAGCTGAAGATTTGAAGGTTTCTTTTTTAATTTTGTTGATGTTTTGCATCTTTTAGTATTATTATCAATTTGTGTCATCATGTCATACTTTTGTTTTTATATTATTTCGTGTTCACAAGTGTTTTGCTTTTATATTATAGCTTTTATTTTATGTCCACAAGTGTTATATATAAGTGGTGGTTTAGTTTTTTGTGTTCCAGTTAAATTTTGTTTTTTTTAAAATTTTTACTAAAGGTCCGATTGGTGGTTCCTAATGTGACAGTTGGAATGATCATAGGCAAGGCCGGGTGTTACGTCAAACAAATCAAAGATGACACTGGCGCCACTGTTCAGGTTAGCTGGTTTTTATTAACCATTTTTATGCTCTTTATATATTTATTCATAGTTATATAAGCTACCCCATTCGAATAACCAGAATTGGTATCGGACTGTCATGCTGACATACTTAAATTTAGTAAATTGTGTTTTACTTTAAAATATAGTTTTAGATTATAAAACGTTTATGGCTGATCTGAATTGAAGTGTTGACTGCATACTCATTCATGATTGTACTCTATCACTAGGTGTCAGCCAAGTCGCCCAATCCACTCTTGCTAGAAAGAATTGTAACAGTTTCAGGTTTCAAAGTTTTTTGTATTTCTCATTTTTTTTGTTTATGTTGATTGTTTGTTTTAATAAATTTTACCTTATTTTTGGGGGCTTTGTGTTACATTATTTTTGGCTAAATTTAACTGTTATTTATTTTATTTTATATATTCTTCTAACAAATTGTTCCTAATTAAATTATTTAGGTACACCTGAGCAGGTTGCAAAAGCATTTGACATGGTCTACATGAAGATCTGTGAGGACCCACAAAGTGGAAGTTGTCCTAACACCAGCTACACAGAAGTCGGTGGATCTCTGGCTATATCCCCAACTGAATTAGGATTAGGAGGATCTTTCATGGGCTTGGGCAATATGGGAATGTCTGGTGTCACAATGCCCACTGGGAATCCATTCTCTTCATTCAACTTTGCAGAGGCAACGAGAAAGATGAATCCAATTAATGTTGAAAATTTGAGAGCAACTCTGCGAGCCAGTGGCTGTTCAGCTCAGGGAGTGGAGGAAATAACTGGTTCCTTACTGGTCCTTGCCTCCTACAATCTTCTAGCTAATCTGCAAGCCACACAACCGGGTACTGTTTCACTTGAGTACCTGGCAAATGTTTTGAATGGCGTTCCTTCGTCGACTAGTACAAATGCATATGGAGATGGAAAGAGTGAGAACCCATTGCTTTCATTCTACAGTACATTGAGTACAGCAAGTAGTGCAACAAATGGCAGCAGTGCGGTTTTTGGAACAGGCAACACTGGCGGATCAGCCAGCTTCGATCTCATCACTGAGTTAAGTGATGGTAGCAAAGAGATGCAAGTTAATGAAAGCCTCATCGGGGCAGTTCTCGGTCCTGCTGGTAGAAACATCATTGAAATACAAAAATTCACAAACACCAGCATTCAGATTTCAAAGAAAGGAGTGTTTGCTCCGGGTACTAAAAATAGATTAGTGACAATTAGAGGTACAAATGGTGGGGACATTGACAAAGCAGTTTTCATGATTCAGCAGTATGTTTTGCAGGAGGAATCAAAGAGGAACAGGGACCTCATGCACCCACTCAGCAAATATTAATGGTAATTAATCATAATTCATAATGTTGAACCATTCTTTAGAGCTCTATTTCTGTTATAGTTAAATTCTTTCAAACGTGCTCTGTATTTGTTATGAATGTTTTTTTATTTGAAGGAGTGCTTTTTTTTTAAACGCCCTTTTTATTTTTAAGTTTCAGTTGACTGTTTAGATTTGTTATAGGGTTTTTTATATTTGATTTCATTTTAAAAAGTAAGTTTGTGTGTTTTGTGTGTAGAGCTCACTAAAATTTTATATACTTAAATGGTAAGTAACTAACTTTAGCTTTGAAGAAGAAACTATTCTCTATTGGTAGAATGATATTGAAATTGTATCATATTTAAAGTTAATGTCAGATCAAATATGTGTATTCCATATTTTAAAATATTCTCTTTGTTATAAATTTTTATTAAATGTTTAAGTGAAAAAAATTTTCAGTTAAATTTTTTTCAAATAGTTTATTTTTCTCTTTTTTAAAAGTTTTTATTACAGAAGTGAGAACAACATTGCTGTTTATGTTATTGTATGACTTAATGATAAGAAGACAGTCTGTTGTATGTGTAATCATAATTTAACCACTACAAACACTTCTTATGCATATACACAACTCATGTTAGAACAATCTGTATATAACTAAAAGTACATATATGTATGTATATATATATATATATATATATATATATATATATATATATATATATATATATTATTTTCACTGTTCACTTTTTTTAATTCTTAATTACTAGGTTTCATAGTTAAAATTTTTTCCAAATAATTTTGATTTCATGTCGTTGAATGAATGCTGTGTGGAGTATTTAATATTTTACATTCATGAACGTTACATGGTCTTCTGCCAACTCATCATTGGAGTGGGTGTTAAATTTTTACTGGATGGCTTGCACAATCACTCAAAAATCAACTGAGTTGCCAGTCATGGGATTAATCAACCAGCCAACTAAATCATTCGAATGACCAACCAGCCAACTAAATCAATCACTCGAATGATCAACTAATCAACTAAATCAATCACTCGATTGATCAACTCACTACGGATCGCCAACCAATCATCATCATCGAAGAAAGTCATCATTATAATCATCGCCGCCTGCATCTCATCAAAAAATATCATTTGTTCGTTCGTTGAATGCTTGATATCGATCAATCAGTCCACCAATCTATCGTTCAATCGATCAATCAGACCAAGTACCTATCATTCGTTCAGTTTTAATTTAGTTGCATGTATATCTCATATATTGCTTGTCTTGTTCAGTTCTGTATAAAGTTTTAGCTACTAACAATTTTTTTATTTAATTTAATAAATGTAATTGATAGATTGTTGCACATTATGCTTTCGCTTTTTCTAAATTGGTTTTTTTTCTACTTTTTCAGAAAATGTCAAATCATGGTTTCTAGCTTATGTTTGATCCTCTGGTCGTACAGTAGTGATAAAGTAATGATGTCACAATGATGACCAACCACACTCACCACTTCTTGTACATCCCTTCCAATGCTGAAATTGCACATCAGGTTAAGTTCTATTCAATTTCTCAAATTAAGGAGTTCGTTTCAGATCACACACACAAATGTTTTTTTAAAATTTCATTTAAGGTAAGTGATTTCAAAGTTTTTCACTTGTTGTGCATTAAGTGATTTTTCTGATTCATTATTTTACGCATTGACAGTTGAGTTGTGTATTATACTCATGACTCTATATCCAGAATTTTTTTATTTGTAATAATCACAGTGTAAAAATGTCCTAAAATTTTATTGACTATCATCAATAACTATTAACAAATGCTATTAAGACAAATAAATGTAACAAATTTGAATGTACACAATATGCCAGATATTAAAAGTAATAATGCTAATGATTAAGAACAGTGGCACGGGAAGCTAATGTACAACAATCCCAGTAACAATTATTAACTCCTATCTTAACTACCATAACCATACAGGTACCCTTCGATAAGTATCTTCTCTGGATCGGAGCTGTTCATTCGAGGAATGCGACCGAATGGCTCAGTGTCTCTGTAGCACCTTTGGAAGACCCTGTCCACTGCAGCTGACGCCTGATCATATGTTATGTTGCGTACCATCAGGACAGACATGATTGCCTTCCTCTTTACACATTCCTGTTTTGTTCGAAAGTTCAATTAGTATAGTTGACTGGTCGATGATAATAACACTGATTGATTGAGTGATTAATTGATTTTGTTTTTGGTCACAAAATCAATGGAACATTTGTTTGTTGTGTGGTTTTCTAGCTGCTTAAGACTGTTGTAGCCGTCTTAGGATATATTTTTTAGTCGTTGATTGATGACTGATATTTTTTTCCTCAACTGATTAAAAATTTTCACGCTTATTATCTCGTTTAGAATGATATTCAATTGACTACAAGTCTATTTGATTTTATGATTGGTTGGCAGATAATAATAATTCACGTCAAATGATGTTGCTAAAGGTACTAATAGCAACAAGTTGATCATTAGTTGGTTGGTTGGCTGGCTGGCTGGTTGATTGATTTAGCGTCCTAATTTGATTAATCAAACATTCTTTGTTAATGTATGTTGATGATTGGATGTTTTAAAAGGACAATAAAATTTAAAAGTTTCATGTCATGTTTTATGCATAATTTGCCTAAATAGAAATTAACTCAATTAAGGGATGGATTGAGTTTAGAACCAGTGACAAACGGTGTTTCACAGATAGGAGTGATGAAAAGATCAGATGGTGGCTTTGATAGTGTAATGCGTAAAGGATATAAGAATTATTTGAAGTGTTGAAGATTGTTTGCTAATATTTAATATTTGCCACAGTAGCAATGATTAACTGTGACAGTGAATGGATAGTTATCAATAACATTTACGAAGTAACAAAAACAATTATGATGTGCATATGCAACATAACAACTATTCCCTTATGTACTTATCAGATGCTTATTGTACAATATAATGACGATAGTGTATAAAAGTATGATAAGCGTGGATGTGATGATATCAATGGTGATGACAATACCTGGTGTCTATTCTTGTAATTGAAGAAAGATGCATCCCCCTCTGACATTGCTGTAAAGAAACGACAGTGCATAAAAGAAGCTGCCCTGATCTGTGGAGATGGGATGACGTTGATGTGATTATGGAGAAGTTGTTAAGTAATAATAAAGTGAAGGAAATTGATATGAAAATTAATGATGAAATTGAGAGGAATTGATGAGGAAATGATAACAAAAAGATGAAGAGATAGAGGATGTGAAGTTTTGATAGGATGATGAAGTGATAATGAGGTTGCATTAAGGTGGTGATGGCAAAGTGGTAGCATTTGTAGTAGCTTGTTATCACTTGTGCACACAGCTTCGTGGTAATCACAATAATCCAATTATAATATTAAATGATTTTATTTAAAAATCTAGAAACATTTGAATGAGAAAATAAATTGAAGTAATGTAACGAAATAGTTCTGAATAAACAAATAAAAAATATGGAAAGCACTTTTGCTCAAAAATAGGCCCAAAAAAATATATATATATAATATTAATAATGATTAACAACGAGAACAATAATGGTAATAAATCACAATAATATTTGGACCTCGGTGCAAGCAAGATGTTCTAAATTTTTAAAATCAACATCGGCCCTGCAGTAGTCAAACATGTGAACAAGTTCGTGGGTTAGGACTGCGCAGCAAACATTTTGGTCTGTTGATGCATTTTGGCAAACTACTATCTGTGTATAATATAATGGTATCATAATAATTTAATGTAACATGTGAATTAAGAAAATTTATAGATTTAGTTAAAATAATTCAAGATAAATTACTTTGAAACAATGCAAGATGCTGGATTTATATGCAAACACATACTTGGTTATTGCTTGGATCATAACCTCCATTAACTTTTGACAGACAGTTTTCGCATGAGACATGCCTTTTTGGATTAAAATCACTGAATGATGTAAAAATAATCATGTACTCACTGTTTCATAAATAAGTTTTTGAAAGTATGTTTTAAATTAATGTTTAAGTATGAAGTATAATATATTGATTGGAAACAGTAAATTTCTTAAAAATGAAACCATCACAAACAATTATCAAACCATCCATTTTTCTTTAGAGCTGAAATCAAAATTTTGACCAATCTGTCTTCAATCAATAAAAAAAAATTAATGATTATAAAAATTGCAGTGAAGTTATTAGAAACATTAGTAATTACTTGCATATTAAAATACTAAATACTACTAGATAAAAAATTATACTTAGAACTAATAATTTACAGTTACACCAAAAAGTATTATACTATAGATTAGAAGAGTATTATTATTATAGAAAGAAAGTATTATACCAGAAAGTTGAAAGTATAATTATAATACTATTAGAAAAGTATTATAGAACTAACTGTGTTCAATGCACTGCATGACGTTAGAAGCGCAGTTGAGGTGATTTTTGATGGATTTCCCTTCACTTAATTTCTTGAACCAACCTTTTCCTTGATCGCCGTCGTCCGGTTTGTTGTTCGGAGATCTTGAAGGGTAGTATCCATAGCCGAAATCTTCCTTCTTGTCCGGATTTCTGGATTCATACTTTTTGTTTTTTTCTGAATCTGACATGTATATTATTCTTTATTTAAATTATTTAAACAGTAAAATCGTAAGGCAAGCTTATTTTTAAGCGGTGTTAAAACTTTTAAAGTTTGTTAAGAGAACCACGAAAAGGATGAGCGATAATGCGTTAAGAGAGCATAAAAAGGTGAACAATTGTTCAATAATCGTTGCTCTCCTTACAAGTTTTGCTCACTCCTTTTTTTTTAGCAAATTTTAACATTGCATTGTTGAATAACTGTAAATTTTTGAACGATTCTTTTATAATTGCAAATTTTTTATTTCAACTGTGTAAAAATCACAACATTTTTTCATAAAATTAGCTCAAATATCTAATCTGATAAAAAATTTCTTTGTTTATACTCTTTCCATAAAGATTAGTTCTTTGTATATAATCAAAAAAGGCGCCCATGTTGTGAGCATTTCTCAAAATTCTTAAAAATTAAATTAGGACCGTTAGTTAGCGAACAAAAATTGTCAAAATAATTCAACATGGAGATTGACGACTGCCAACCGCCAGCCGAAATTTGCCAGAAGTGCCGCGAAGCTCTGAATGAGCGTTTCATAAAGTGCACTCAATGTCCTAATTCACTAATTTTATGTTTGAAAGTTAGAGCTTGCATTTGTATTGTAGTGCTTGATAATGCTTTTATTTATTCGTCTCATATTATTTATTTCCAGTGTTTTTCTCAAGGAGAAGAGTTGGAAAGTCATGATAATAGTCATGACTATGAGGTAATTTTGTCACAAAATTTGTATTATTTTTATTTGTTCAATGATGTTTGTTTGTTGTTATCTTATCCTGCTAGCAGCTATCCCCAAACAAAAACAGTTCCATTGTTTATTTTTTATTTTAGAATTAATTTAAAATGCTTAACCAATAAGCATTAATAATAGATGAATAAACTTATAAATAGGTTTATCGATCAATGATTTGATTGATTAACCTAATAAATAAATAGGTTAATTCGTTAATTAGTTAATGATTTGATTGAATCAATAGGTTTTCATCAATGACTTCATAATGTTTTGTTCTTTTGATGGAAACAAATAAAATTTCTTTTCATTTCAATAGACAGATAAACCTAAAAAAATAAGTTATAAATAAATTTAATTCAGGTTCACAGCAAAAATTCAGTCAGATTAATGTTATTTGGTGACAGATGGACAGTTGAGGAGGAAAGCTCACTGTTAGAAGCTGTTGAACATTTTGGCTTTGGCAGTTGGCTAGTAATTTAAACTGTTATAAGTGTTGTTATATTTCTCTGATCGTCTAATTTAGCGCAAAAAGTTGATGGCAAAGAAAACAACGTTCTACCTCGGGAAACTGGGACTCTGGACGCAAAACGAAGATTGATTGATAAGTGTTATTATATTATATTATACATTTGCTATATTTATATATGCATGTTTATATTTATATATATATGTACAATATATATATAAGTTTTATGCTATGTTAAACATGTATGTTATGTATGTAAGTGTATGTATGTTATATATGCTAGTGTTGTTATACTATGTTATACATTTGTTATATTAGTATATGAATGTATATATAAGTGATGTTATCTTGCATCTCTATATATGTATGTTATATATATATATATATATATAACCCATATATTTATATATAATATATGAATGTATGTATAATACATACTTTCTATATTATTATCTATTTCTTTGTATTTACTTATAATAATTGTATTAATTAATTAATTTGTTGTTTTAATTTTAATTAATTAATTAACAGGTTAGATGTCTCAGAATTTGTGAAGACAAAAAATGAATATGGTTATACTAATGATGGGACTTATTTGTTTTAAAAAATTGAAATGATAAATGAGTGAATGGATGGATGGATGGATGGACTGAGGAGTGAATTAACTGATAAAAATTAGAAATGGATGAATGAATGAATGAATGAATGAATGAATGAATGAGTGATCGATTGACTGAAGAAATGAAAAATGAATAAACAAATATATTATTAATAATTATTATTTTTATTATGTCTTTTAGAGTGTGAGGAACATTATCTTCTTTACTATGTGGACGGCTCCATTGGAAAAAGTTGATCTGAATAATAATTTTATTTTTATTTTAGTTTAAATATATTTAACAATAAATAAATAAATGATATATATATATGTGTATGTGTGTGTGTGTGTGTTTGTGTGTGTGCGTGCGTGCGTGTATGTATGTATATATGTATGTTTTTTTGTCTGTATGTATATGTTGATAAATACTTCTTAGAATTTTTCCAATTAAAAACTTTGATTCCACTCTTTAAAAACTGATTCAAATCCGCGATCATTATCATTCGCCTAGTTTATTTCTCCATTCATAGTCACCCCAATCTGACCTGTCAATCAAACATAAACTCCACCCACCTGTAGATACCATTGGTGCTGTGGAACCCGCAATGGCATGCTCTGATAAGTACGCCGGAGATGTATATGGTAATGTGTGCATAATAATTATGTTCTTCATTTGTACGTTTTTATAACCTAATTATATTATATATGCTTGTATTATATAATTATATTAATAATATAATTGTTTAATTACAATAGAGAAATCAGTGGAGACTCAAGACCTGACAGTTGAACAGCAGAAAGACCTTGGCTACATGGCTCTAAGAGACGACTTTGATAAAGTTCATTGCTATAATAATTTTAATTATTATTTTAATAATAATTATGGATAATAATTATTATTATTGTAATAATGATGAAAAAGAACTTTTTGAGGAACGAACTGAGGGTTAATGAAGCTTCGTTAGCTCCTTTTCATATAATGTTACGAAATGTTTGGTTATAAAGTGTCGTTACGTTACTTAACAGTAAATAAGTGATATATGTATGTGTTTGTGCGTGTTTTAGTGTGTGTTTTAGTGTGTTTTAGTGTGTGTGTGTGTGTGTGTGTGTGTGTGTGTGTGTGTGTGTAGAATGTCCGTACTTTTGGGATTATTTAAAATACAAAACGGTTACGTGTCAGCTTAAATTGTCTGCCACTGTTGTTGCTTTTATTTTAGGTTTTTATGGCTTCAGAGCTTTTACTGTAGTAGTAATTTTAGGAACTGTAATACTGACATTATAAATGATGCTAGTAGTTAATAGTTATACAAAAAAGTCATTCATTTAGTCATTGTACCACACGCTAGCAATACATGCAGTAATAATATATATATGTATAATGATGAACACGTTCTGCTACTAATGATAATAATTATTTTTATAATTATTTTCATAATATCTCTGATGATAATTATGATGATAACTAAGATGATGATTTTTTTTCAGGATTACGACAATGATGCTGAGACCAGTATCAGCTCCGTCTGCTTGCATTACACTGATGATGCTATTGATGTCGGTTAGTTATAAGGTTTACTCACGTGCATATATTTGTCTGTGGGAATGTGTGTGCGTGTGTAGGTTTACTCATATGCATGTGTTGGTCCGTGTGAATGTGTGTGCGCGTGCGTGTGTAGGTTTACTCACATGCATGTGTTTGTCTGTGTGAATGTGTGTGTGCGCGTGTGTTTAATTGTAATAAATAATTACGACTTTAATAGGATTATAATTATTATGCTACATTATTGCTGTATATTATATAGCACTGTTGTAATGACCACAGCCTACAAAGTTTTCCAAGTTGAGCAGTTTCGTGAGAGGCAGATGGATAGAGACAAGAGGAAGGTACTTGCCAAACGCTACAACATTCTCTATGATTCCTCACATCTTGGGTTCAAGTCCTTTCGAGTCAACTGGAAAAAAAGAACCAGAGAGTTCAAGTGTGTTTTGGGCATCTGATTATGGCGTGTTAAGTTGATGAAAATTTGGAATTGTTTTTTTTTATGTATTTTCTTTCTTTCATTATTCTGAATTGAGTTTTCTTTTCAGGGATTTTATCATTTCATGGAATGAAATTTATTATTTGTTTATTAAAGTTAATTAAAGTTTATTATTTGCTGATGAATTTTTATAAATTCAAACTTTTATTTAAAGTATTTTTTTAATTTTTTTATCCCTCCATCTCTCCATTCTTTTATCTCATTTGTTCTCTCTCTCTCTCTCTCTCTCTCTCTCTCTCTCTCTCTCTCTCTCTCTCTCTCTCTCTCTCTCATTCTTCTCACAGATTCATGACCTCACCCACGCAAACACTTACATACACACACATCATTTGACATCCGTCCACACAGAGCATACCAGAACAACTTCTTATCAGTTGCAAAGTTCATGGACAAATCAAAATTCGCAGGTCTCTTCAAGAATCTGGAAAGTCAGTGTGACACATTTTTTTTAAGATTTTGATCAGGGCCTTTTTAAGAATAAATTTATTACTATCATTATATTATATTATTAATATTTTATTATTTTTTTATTTTGTGAAGGGCAGAAAAAGATTTGCAGGCACCTGAGTTTGCTACTCAGATTGAGTAAGAATGGCCTCAAAAAAATGACAGGTTTTCTTTCTGTTTTTCATTTTGTGTATTCTAAATATTATAATTTGTGAAAGAGAAAAAGAGATAAAGAAAGCGAAACAGAGAGAGAAAGAGAAAAGGAGAGGAGTGAGAATGGGGAATGAAAGCGATTCAATAACTGGGAGAGGAGTGAGAATGAGGAATGAAAATGATTCAATAACTGTGAGAGTAGTGAAAATGAGGAATGAAAGTGATTCAATAACTGGATAACAATAACTTTTTCACTTTTCAGGAAATTTGAAGAAATTAAATGGCAACCTCAACGTATGTTTTCGTTGCTACATTCAATTTTGACGTGGCTTGTTTTTGTCTATTTTGCAATTTTGTTAAAAATTCTAGACATTCGGCTAAATTCGACTTAATTATTACCCTAAATTATGTCTATTTATAAAATCTGATAACCATGTGCGTTCAAGTTGACTAAAATCAATCATATAGGATCGAATTTAGTGTGATGTTTCGTATTTCTTTTATAACTTGAAAGGGTAAAAGAAGGAGAAAAAAGATTAAAGATTCTTACAGATGATTGACATCTCGAAATTAGAATCATACCGTCAGAAGCCAATTAATTCGGTCTGCTCAGTTCGTAGTAAGTTGCTGATGATTAGCAATGAGTATTTATTTATTTTCCCTCTATCTTTTATTGTCTTAAAATTAATATTTTTTTTGCCAAAATCCAAAACTCTGATGTGACTAGAGATCAAAGGAACATGTAAAAAATCCCTGAAAAAAGAATTAATAAGAAAAACAACGCTACAAGATTACCGAAATAATTTATGTACATTTTTCTACATAATCTATTTAAACGACTCGTCAAAAATATTTAAATTTCAGAAAACTAGATTGAATAAATATCGGTCGGTGTGCTCATGATTCGGAATGGTGGTGCACACGTAATGTTAGACATCAAACAGCAAGCAATGCAGACAGACAGATTTATTCGCTGTGCCACCTGCCTACCTACCAGGTATAGACTATGGGACTACGCCCAGTACAACATAAATTATAAGATTAAAAACTTCAAGTCTACCAGCTGACATTAATAATTATCATTATAATAATTATTAATCATCATAACTATTATTTATTACTATTATTATTTTTTCATTGAAAGCTCTTAAAATCGTTTTTTATAAGGTTGAAGACATTAAATTATTCATATTATTTTGTAATTAAATCTATCATCCATTTATTAAATTTTCTATATAGGACTCTTCAGATGAAGGAGGCAAACCAAACGAAAAACCACCAAAGAAAGCACTCTCTCTCTCTCTCTCTCTCTCTCTCTATATATATATATATATATATATATATATATATATATATATATATATATATATATATGCCCTGTCAATTCAATGGCTGAATGGACATTAAATAAATAGTAGTTGTCCGTATGTAGTTGTTTAAATTACAGATAAAAAAAATGGTGTACTTTTAATTTACTTTGCATTTAAATTTTAAAGGTATTTTGGCGATTATGTATTATTGCTTACTTGTTACTGGTCGTCATAATTTAAGATTACCGCTAATTTAAGCTATGCATTTGAAATGGCTTTCGTAATATGTTTATAATATGAATACACATTATTTATATAATACATGTATATATATATATATCAAGATATATATCATGAACAGTTTGTTCACAAATGATAATACAATCTATCATTGAAAATGAAATACACCTGGAGTCACTATGTAGTAACTAGTTTAGTGCCTCCGAATAATTGAATTAAAATCCAAAAGTTATATTGACAGAATGACTGCAATTATTGTGTTTGTAAATATGACACCCACAGTTATAATCGATTTTATTATGTATATCTAGTAGCCATTAAAACGAACGAGCACGAAATAGAGTGTTTAGTTAGCTGAACATCATATTAATGCAGTGACGATGGTGACAACATTAAAATAATTGAAACGCACTACATACAAGGTACAACAAAATTAACAACAGTAATAGTAGATAACCAAGGAAATGTAATAGTTTTGGCAAAACTTTACTTCTTTGACCATATTTACATTTTAATATTAATGCAACAAAAACATGAAGTCAGATTATTGTCTACATATATTTGTATGTTCATCTTGTCTTAACTTGTACAAACAGGTTGTTATGTACAAGATACCCACACGTATATGCAATCATTAATCCTTGTTAGACCCAAACATGGGTTTATAACAGCAACGAATAGGGCCAGTCAAAAAAAAGTAAATTTTCGCCATAACCTTTTCTCCTAAATATCGACGTCTACAATATTCCCTAAAAACTAGTTAAACCATTTTATTCAACTGTAAATGATGATGAAGATCCTGTGTAAGAATCATACGTACAGGGGTAAGGTGTGTGTGTGTATGTATGTGTGTGTGTGCATGCGTGTGTGTCGTGTCTGTATGCATTTGTATGTCAGAGAGGTGCGTAAAAATTTTCCTAAGTTTTTAAGCAACGAAATATTACAAAACAAAAAAAAATAATTAAGTAATAGGAAAAAGAAAATGGATGAAAAAATTTAACAGTGCAAAACTTAAGCCTTTTTATGGCGGAAAAAACTTATAATAAGGTGAAATAATAGTACATAATAAGTAATGACACTGCATCGAGGAGTGTCAGCTACTAATATTCACGAAGCAATAAATTTATTAATTCTTTCTATACTTATTCAACAATTATTAACAAGCAAAACTACACACCAAGACAAACAAACACACAAAGCATACAGCCATGCAAACAAACACACATAACATTATAATTGATTGGTTGATTGTCGTATTATAAAAACACCGAATCCTATTATATTACATTAAAAAAAGATGTTCAAGACATGTTATAGGAAGAACGCAAAATTTATTGAAAGCTAATATACAAATACAATATGAAATACTAATTGATATACATATATAAACTACTTATCCAATGTGATCAAGAGTATATAGTCAATATAGTGTTATAACCGACCCCTTGAACTTGTAGGGTATGGATATTTCTCTCTACGTGATTTCTTGACTCCTGAACAGACCTATTTCAGATGACTTTATCAGAAAGAAAACAGTGCTAGCAATCACCTGTGTGTATTGCTGTGATCAATCACTCGTTTATTCAATCGTTAAAATCGTTAGAATACAGCACAATAACTAATCGACAGGTAAATCACGGAATACAACTATTCGTCAGTAGTTAAGCTTCTCTTGTCAGACTAATTACATTGAGTTCTCTAATCCTGGCATTCTTTACTACAGTGAGTTTCCAGCTATCCAAATCTTGCTTCTGCCACCAGATCCCACGTCCGTAACAATAGTTCCAACACACACACGCACATACGTGCATACATATACACAAACACACATGTGTATGCGTGTGCCTATATATGTGCGTGTGTGTGTGTGTGAGTCAAAACACGAAGTTAAGCAAAGCTATTACATTCAACGGGATGATGCTTTTTATAGTTACATGTAAAATTTTTAAACATGTACACATCACCAAATAACTTTAATGTTACATTACTCGTGCTATAATATTATAATTTCAGAAATTAGAAAAACGCTATATTAAAAAGATGAAATATTGAAATGTCTATGTGACATATATATTATGTATATTTATTGATCAACTGACATTCGCCAACTTTGAGACCACTATTAAAAAAAATAGTCAATCAACCAATCAATCAATCAACCGACCGACCAACCAGGCAATCATTTAATTAACTAGTTAATTAAGTTCATTACTTAATTAACAATAACGAAACTATAACAACAGATTAAAATAATATAATAGTAAGAAAAATTTTGAATGATTCAACTTAGCAAGATGTAACACCAATGTTGGACAGGAATAAAAAAAATTAAAAACAACAACAAAGATAACAACATCGAACAAATAATTTTTTAAAAGAGAAAATTTATGGGCAACAAAGACAAATAAATATGTAAAAAAGATTGTATCTTCAAAAAAATATCCTCAACTTTTCTTAACATTTTTAGAAAAAAAAGAAACCCAAGAACTAAAAACAGACAAACAAAAAAAACACAAAAGAAAATAAAAATTAATTAATTTAAAAACCAAGACCCAATCAACCAACCAACCAATCAGTGAAAACACATCTCTGCCAACCAATCGACAAATCAAACACAATATAATGAGTAATCAATTAATCAATCAATCAATTAATTAATCAATCAATCAATCGATCAATCAATTAATCAATCAATCAATCGATCAATTCCCTCAAAGATCAAGCAGCATGACTCTAGGGTCCTCGATAGCCGACTTGATCTTCCTCAAGAAGGTGACAGCCTCTCTACCGTCGATCAAACGATGATCATAAGTTAGGGCCACGTACATCATCGGGCGAACCTTCACCTGGTGGTGGGAAAAAAACTCGTTGGATATATAAATGCCCGAATGAATATTGTATTGTGACAAGATACGCGTGTGTGTGTGTGGTGGTTAAAGAAAAGATAATACCAACATTGTAAAAGTAAGATACTACTATAATTCAATAGAGAGTAAGGACCACATACCAACACATATACTTTACTTGAAAACATACACATCCATCTCTCTCTCTCTCTTTCTCACACACACACACACACACACACACACATCAATCACACACAAGAACAAATACACAACATACCTCTCCCTTTATAGCAACAGGCCTTTCAAAGATACCGTGCATACCCAAAATGGCCGACTGGGGAGGGTTGATGATTGGCGTGCCCATCAACGAACCAAACACCCCACCGTTACTGATGGTGAACGTGCCACCGTCCATATCCTCCACTGCTATTTCATTTTTCTTAGCCTGGAGTTGGTTTGAAATTAGGTTGAAAAGATTTTGAAATGAAAACATTGTTATTCACACAGAGAATTATTGAATTTAGACACACACACACATACGCACACACACACATATATACACACACACACACACACACACACACACACACACATATATATATATATATATCAAATGATATAATTATAACACCACATGTATCAGAAAGACCATATAAAAACCACAAAGTCCTCCTACCTTCTCCCCAAGTTCATAGAGGGCCTTCTCAATCTCTGCACAGTTCATGACTTCAACATTCCTCAACACCGGTACAACTAATCCCTGACCAGTGCAAAGAAAACAGGTCATTTAATTGTAATACAAAAAAAAATATCATCAAAAATCATAAATCTAAAATGAGACAATTAGAGAACTCAAGAGACCTTAGGTGTGGCAACAGCAACCGAGATGTCAACATAATCCCTGTAGACGATTTCATTCTCATCGATGACAGCGTTAACGACAGGCTGGTCCTTCAGGGCATAGGCAGAGGCCTTCAGGAATGGAGACATGAATCCCAGCTTCGTTCCATGCTTCTTCACAAACTGTTCCTTGTACTTTTCACGCATCTCCATTATGTTGCTAGGTTTTTTAGAGTTGAATGAAAATTTAATTAAGAAGGCTATATTGACTGAAAAGTCAAAAAAAAAAACAACCAATCCATCCAATAACAACCTACCCTACTTCCAACCAACCAAATAAAAATTTTTTTAAAACAATCAAACAATGCATCCTTCCAAACTAATCTGATCACATCCAGCCGACTAACCGACCTCATATCAATCTCATTGAAAGTGGTAAGCATGGCGCAGGTGTTCTGAGCATCCTTGAGACGCTGAGCAATCCTCAACCTCATCCTGTTCATCTTGATCCTCTCCTCGGTCCTCAACCCTGGCACCGGTTTCGAACCATCAGTCGACGGCTTTGGTCTGGCAGGTGCAGCAGCCGGAGTTGTAGAGATTGGCTTTGATGGAAGAGGGGCTGATGGCGCTGGTGCTTTTGGAATTGGGGCTGGAACAGGTGGCGGAGGTTTGGGAGCTGCCGCTGGGGTAGGAGGTGGAGAAGCTGCTTTTGGAGGGGGAGGTGGTGGAGAAGGGACACTGGCTGCTGGAGATGGTGCTGATGCCGCTTTGCTGGCTGCTCCTGCATTTGTAGGTGGGTGAAAAAATGGAAGAACAAATGAATTAGTATAACTTAATGGATAGATTAAATTATGGAGAATGAATGGTCTGAATAAACAAAAAAGTCAAAAAAAAACAAAAAAATGAAACAAGTTCATGTACCATCATCAGCTTACTATACTAAAAAAAATTCAACATTCATCTGTGATTGATGTAGAAGCAAAAACCAAAACAAACGTTAAAGAATGAAAAATTATTTCATGAAAATGTATCTAAATATCTATGTATCTATATAATTAGTTGCCCTCATCACGATCTATCCATCATGATTTATCCATCTCTGTATCTATTTACCTGTTATCTTGAGTTTAAACAGTTGGGTGCCGGCCAGCACCTTAGAACCATCTTCAACCAGCAGTGCCTCAATCACACCATTTGCTGGTGAGGGAACTGGAATGGAAGTCTGTGATTGGATGGTGGTGGAGAGGGGTGATGATATGGTGATGATTAAGATAGAGGCGCGGTAGACATGAATGTTTTATAATGATTAAAATGAGAATAATGATTTGTTTATGATTAAAATGATGAGTAGATGGCAGATGATAATGAAAATAGCAACTATGATCTTATGATTACAACCATAACAATAATAACCATTACAACAACTTAGCATCTAGACATACAATTGTTACAAACTATAGACTCAGCCTACCTTGTCAGTTTCGATCTCGCAAACAATTTCATCCTCAGACACGGCATCACCAACAGCTGGTAATTAACATAAAATAAATAAATTAATTAATTAATTGGTTAATTAATAAATTAATTGGTTAATTAATAAATTAAAGCGACAAATTGATTAAAAAAAACATATTTATCAACTGAATGAAGCCCTAAGTTAAAAAACATCATTTTGGAGTTTTAAAATTTGTTCAAAGGCTAATTTTTTTTATCATTTATTAAAAAATCAGAATCTGGCAGAAGCAGAAACTATTACAGCATGCAAGGCAATAGTAACAAAGAATTGTAACAAAGAATAATATATAAATAAATAAGCTTAAAACATAATTAACTAAAAATAATTAATTTCTAATTAAAGAATTATTCAAATTTGGTATAAATATTTTTAACAATGACCTTTCTGAAACTTAACATCTCCTTCTGATACAGAGTCGGCGAAAGGTGGAGTGGATACAATCTTAACTTCGTCGACTGAAAATTTCAACATGAAATAATATTAATTATATTAAATAAAAAATGAAATAAAATATAATAATGGCTAGACATCGAATTTAATAAAAATTTTGAAGGAATTAAATAAGTAAAATAATTCAATTTATTATCTTACAAAAAGTAGAAGTCAGATGGATTGAACTTTTCTGAATCAATCCAGATGGTAATGAAGTTGGGTTTAAGCTGTGAGACCAAATTATGAATTAATTTTTTTTATAAAAATTCTCTATTTATTAAAAAAAATAATACAGCCATTGCCACCATTTAGTTAAACTATTTCATCATAAACATGAAAAACGTTATAAATTAAAATTATGATCACTCAAACAAAAATCAACATTTACTAACAAGAGTTGTCTGTTATAGTTATTGAAGATCTGCTGAGATGCAACTGCATTTTACACACAAAAAAAGAGGTTTTAGTTTTAATAAAATAACATCAAAATACAATAAAACTATAAATATCTTTAGCAAAACTTTACATTAGTGCCTCAATAGAAACAAAATTCAGCAGTGACGTAAATAGGTGTAAAAGTAAATTTATAATAATAGAGCTAAATAATTTTAATTTTTTTTTCAAAGTTCCAGATAAAAATTATTTATTATATTATTAAAATTAAATGTGGCATTATTTCCAATGTACTTGGCAGGTTAAAAAAACAACCTGTTTATTATTATTCATTATTGTTAGCAAGTGACATTTGTTCATTGTAAATGATGCAATTAAAAATTGATGATGTGCCAGATTCATTGTAAAAGATGCAATTAAAAATTGATGATATGCCAGATACACAGTGAGATAAAGTGTATGCAAACATCAATGTAAAATGAACATTATACTTTTTAATTTAAAGTTACAACATTTAGTAAAATATAGAATAAATAATTTAAAATAACAATTTTAACATGCCTATAGTTAAGTGTGGTAACTGTAGTTCTCTAAGTCTAATAGTTATACTAAGAACTGTTATACTAACTATGTGTAGCTGTTACATCATAATTTGAAATAATAATTATATAATATCAAGTAAATAAATCAAATAAATCTCAAGTGCACTAGTAGCAAAATGTTCAGCAGTAAACCTCGGCTGAGGCACATTTTTTAAGTGGTTCCCTGAATCTCAAAAGGTTGAGAAGCGCTGAACTAGCTTCAATCAATTGATTAGCTTGTAAATCGCTATTTCCGTAATGTTCAACAGTGCTCCTCAATGAATATAGCAAACAGATAGGTCTTGAGACCTGCTCTGAACTTTGAAAATGATGGAGAAATAGTCAGAGAAGTAGGTAGAATTCCAGATAAAAGGGCCAGAAAAAGCAAAAGCAGATTTAGTATAGTTTAGTTGAGCATGCAAGTATTTATGTGCCTAAATGGCAAAATATACAATAAATTCCCTAAAATAAAAATTTTCTACTGAAAACTGAAAAATTAAAAATCACAACATGTCTATTAAAAAAATTAATTAAATTAGTAATTATAAAATTTGAAAAGAAAGGCAAACTACCTAATCTGGCACGCAAGGTAGGAACAGTTTTAAAGGTCCTTACCTATTTTTTGAAAAATCGAGATTTAATTATTAAAACATAAAAAACTAATTTGAAAAAATGAAGGTGGCGAAATTAATCAATAAATAAAAAAAAGATAAACATGACAACCGGAAAACACACAGAGAGAACGTCTAGGAATTCTCGGCATTTTTCCAAATTGGGACTCAAGTTTTTTAAATATAAAGTTAAAAAACTCAATTTATAAATAATAACCTGTTGATTAGTTGTCCTGACTGCGCCGGCGAGACAATTCTTGCTGAAATTTCGAACATTTCCCGAGGACAATCTCAGAATGATGGAAGCCATCTTTAAAATTTACTAAGGTCAATCTACGAAAGATAGCAAAAGTTATTTCGCCTATAAATGAATTGTTCATTTAATTTCCAAGTATATATTTGTAAAGATTTGTTTGATATAATATCATGAAAAACTAGTTTTAACTGGTTTTTCATCCAAATTGTTGCTAGATATTGTTGTGATAGCTTCCTAACACAATATTTACTCTGCGTCACAAAAACGTGGATCCTTTACATAAAATGTGAAAATATTACCGTTAACAACTTAATCAATCAATCAATTAGCTTATAAAGCGCTATTTCCGCGATATTCAACAGCGCTCCTCAATAAATTTTGTAAACAGATGGGTCTTGAGATCCGTTCTGAACTTCGTAAGTGATGGAGAAGTAGTCAGAGAAGTAGGTAGAGAGTTCCAGAGAAAAGGGCCAGAAAAAGCAAAAGCAGATTTAGCAAAAGAGTGTTTAACACGAGTTAAGAAGAAGTGAGAACAAGAAGACGATCGTAAACCGGGGCGTTTAGGTTCAATCAATATATCTGATAAGTACTTAGGAAATAATTTAGATTGAGACTTATACATAAATTATTCTATATTTTATAGGTAGCCAGTGGAAGAGAACAAAATATGGAGATATATGAGAAAAGAAAGGGGCACGAGCAACTAGACGTGCAGCAGAGTTAAAAGCTTTGCTTAAAGGATAGAGTGTAGAATCCGGAAGACCATAGTAGAGCGAGTTACAATAATCAAACCTAGATAAGACTAACGAAGTAACAAGAAGGAGAAGGTAGGATCATCAGGAAAAGGCAAAAGTTTTTTTATTTTACGTAAATGAAAGTAAAAACTTCTAGCAACAGTATTAATCTGAGAAAAAAGAAACATACTAGAATCAAAGATAAAGCCTAAACTACAAAACTTGTGAGAAACATCAAGAGTTTTAGAATCAGGTAAGATAATAGAAGGAATAATAATAGAGTGTTTAGATTTATTAAAACAAATGAATTTTAATTTAGAAAGATTGAGTTTAAGACATATAGATTCAGACCAAGTGATAATTGAAGAAAAAAACAGAGATAGATTATGAAGAACACTATAAAGATTAGATGGAGGAAAATAAGTATAAATATAAGAATCATCAGCATATAGTTGACTAGTGAAAGAAAAGTTATTAATAATACGAGGTAGTTCAAGAGTATAGAGTATAAATAGAAGAGGGCCAAGAATAGAACTCTGCGGCACCCCGAAAGTAAGAGTAGAAGAGTTAGAAGTAGAATTATTGAGAACTACAAAAAAAAATCGATTACAGAGATAAAAAAAAACCAAGATAGACAAGAATCAGTAATATTAAAAGAAAGATCTAGCAGCCTCAAGAGAATAGTATGATCAACAGTATCAAAAACAGGGGAAAAAGTCAAGAGCAAGAAAAAGAGTAAAATTACTAGAAATACAGAAAATACAAAATATTGAAGTGGTCTGAAAATTGGCAGGTCGCCAATTTTCAGACCACTTCAATAGAGCAACAGCTTCGCAGATATATAGATTTAGTAATTTTTCTAACTAAATTTTACTATTAAATCTCCTAAACACTCATGAATTTACCATATTTTGAGATTCAAGGACCACTTAAAAAATGTTTCTTAGTACACTTGATTTTATATATGTATTTCATATAATGACCTAACAGCTATGTGGATAGTATAACATAGCTCTTAGTATAACTATTAGACTTGTTATCATTAGAACTATTAGAAAACTACAGTTAACATACTTGACTACAGGTGTATTTAAGTTATTTAAAATTATTGATTATATATTATAATAAATGTTTTAACTTTAAATTAAAAATATAATGTTCGTTTTACGTTGATGTTTGCATACACCGTACTGAAACTTCTTTACTCAAAATACGTAATGATATCCTTCTTTCTAGTAAAATTACTAAAAATACAGAAGTGTGAACTGTTTGAGTTATCGAATTTGAATATCATTTTTAACGATTGGATTAGGTAAAGTGACAATTTATTTTTCTAAAAAATTTCCCTTAGATTAGAATTTTTTTTCGTTTTAAATAAACAAAGCCACAATAAATAATTTATTAAACAAATTAATTAATTAATTAATCGGTATAAAGAACATAAGGACTCAAGATAATCAAATTAAATTTATAACAATTGTCCGAGTATAAATTAAAAAAATAATATTGTTAAAATATTTTGGAAAAAAAATTTTGCGACACATAAAACATGCATGCATACAAAACAAAAAACAAAAAAACACACCCATATATAAAATACATTTTCAAACTCTCATAAAAAAGCGTTTTCTTCTTTTTTTTCCAGTTATAACAAGGCAAAAAAAAAATCTAAAAACGCGCCCAACGTAACATACGTCATACATTGGAAAGCGGAAGTACGTTAAAACCCAAGTCGGAAGTCATGTCAAAAGACCAATAATAATAAAAAACCATCGCTACCACGACACGCTATGCAACAATGTCATTACTACCACCACCACTACTACTACTACTACTACTACTACTACTACTACTACTACTACTACTACTACTACTACTACTACTACTACTACTACTACTACTAATACTATTCACTTTTAACAATAACTGAAATTTCACTGAAAATAAATTAAATTATTAAACATTCGGCAAGATGGTAAAGTGTCCGTGACCGACCGAGCGCAGTGCTACACTGCTCAGGTTCGACTGGAAAAAAATACCAATGTTGAATTCGTCTAACATCTCTCTCTCTCTTTTCTCTCTCTCTCTTTCTATATATATATAATATATATATATATATATATATATAGAGAGAGAGAGAGAGAGAGAAAAGAAATAGATATATATATATATCTAAAATATTTAAAAGTCTAATATCATAGGTAAAGGAAACAATCATTTTCAGCATTGGAAAACTGCAAGAGAAGAAGAAGAACTGGTCGTCGTATCATATGCATCTTACGCTGATTACGTTGATAAAATCCTTCACACTTTTTTTCAATAAAAAATTCAAAGGTAATATCATTATTTAACAATAATGATAATTATACAACTAATAGTAATAATAACAATAATAAAATTAATAACAACAATAATAATAAAATTATAATTATCATTATCGATGATGATTATTATATTTTTTGTA